AAAAAAAAAAAAAAAAATGAACAACAAAAAAAAAGACGTACATACTAAACACCATTAAAATGATCTGCAAACGAAGAACTAACATGGTGTACAATGAATATTTATAAATAGCTTAAAATAACTCTTTTGCTATTAGGGATAAATGCATTAGATATTTTTCATTTTCAATAAAAAAAAAACAAAATTTATAGTGTATGTTTTGTTGTTTCTGCTAATATACTACGGTGCATGTATTGTTTTTTCTTTTAATTAACACACGGCATACATAAATTCACTAAATCACATATTATATTCCGGGTCCTTTAATAGAAAAAAAAAGAACAAAATGAAATTTAACAACAAAATTAACTCCTTTTCTATACAAAATAATTCTCGGTATTGTCTTACATGAAATCCTCATTTTCATTAATATATATGTTTCAGAAAGAATACGAACACATTAAATGTTATAAAGAACACATAACCTTTCTTAAAGTAAGAAATGAAGGAAACCAATTTATAAGAAATTATCAAAACAAACAAAAAAACAGTTCCACCATTAATAAAATTAACATCCCAACTTGTTCCAAACGCATTTTCGATACATTAAAAAAGCCCATTTACAACAATAAAAGGTAACAGCCGCGACATGTAATCTAAAATTCCACGTGTGCGCTATGCTTGTAAGCTTCGACGAAATATTCCACAGGAATATTCTTAAGGTAACAAGTATATAATTTCATATATCATGTATTCTTATTCTATGCTTATCTGCTTTTGTGAAATATGAATGTTCTCACTTCACAGGGTTTACATTTCATTCTGAACATTTTTTATTACAATGTTTTAAAATAAATATCGCGTTGTTCTTGTATTAGAGAACATTATATATAGCGCACCTTTTCTGGGGCCATTTATTCCTGGAAGCTTGAACTTTAAACCCTAGAAAATGAAGGGTGAACTTAGTTCACTCTCCCAGTTAATTCAGTATATAAGTGATTCATTTAGAATGAGCTCATTGGAACTAAATTTTTTTATTATGCCTCACATATTGGATTAATCTTATAAACGGTGTGCCGATGTTCCCATGTTTCAACAGCTTTTCGGTGCGGTTCTCCTAATGTAAAGCCTATTCGATAGGTCAATATTATATTAATGCATGTACTCAAATAAGAAAATTGTATAAAAATTTTGGTCGATGAATTCCACATAAGGTAAATAATGCCAAACATATTAATGGGTATATTAGGTAAGGAAGAGTAGTGCGTGCAATTTGTGTGAAAAGAATTAGTTGCATAAAAAAATAAAATAACAATAAGTATTTTAACGGGGGTTCACACTCCTAGGCATTATTAAGTTTGGATTTCTGTTCAATATTATACATTTTCTTCTTTTCTTTGGTGCCTATGTACTTGTCACCCTTTTATTGCATAAATATGCGATAATTGTGACTAACACAAAATTTCCTTATGCATATTTGTTCTTTGTATGAAGGCTTGAATCATTGAAATTAATATGTAGTTTTTTTCTTCCCTGATTGACCTTTTTTATGAATAATGCACATAAACGTAGAAAAAAAGATATTAGAACGATGGAAGAAATAACGTAAAATGCAGAGAAGCATAAACAGGAAGAACAGTACAAATGAGTCCTTATCAATATATGGGAGAACCAATAGTTGGGAATGATATCGCAGTACGCACTGTATAGGGTATACCTGAAGATAGGTAGATTTCAGAAAGGGCACATTATTATATTATAATATTAAGGACACAATGTCTGGACTTCTAATGAAATTATTGATTACCTGGATGAAGAAACATGGTTTGACTGTTCACTCGAAATCCATCGTAAGTTAACAGGAGTGGAAAGTGGCTGATATATTAAATAATAATAATGTGTACGTATTTGTGGGACTCATGAAGATATACATGTAAAAAATATATACATGCGACTAACCTGTATTTTGAGTAATAACATGATTATGTGCAACGATGTTGTATGAATAAAAGTAAGTAATGATGGCAAAATGAAATAATCATGTGAATAAATAGTACATGTGTATTTACATATATGGAATATTATAATTATAGGGGAATTTTATCAAGGCCGTACGAAAGATTAATGAAGAATTCTTGCATTATGTAAGTGGAGATGTAGATGATGCAATAACTGCTATGTGTAAAAACAGAATAAGTGAATATGAAAATGGAAACATAGAGATGGAACCGAAGGATATACCTATATGTGAATTTATACTGAGGGCCCTATATTTTAAACATGGGCTTTCTCACGAAGTGGGGAATTCAAATATAAAGAGTATTCTGAACACAAATGTTGAGGTAGACCTATGTATAAAGTGCACATTAGCAAATGTATATTTGGGAAACTTATTTCATAAGAACTGTTTGGACACGCCCGGGGAGAAATGGGCCTTTGTGGCCGCAGCGAACCTATTGAATGCATTGGGAAGGGGACAGGGGAATATACAATGTGATGAAGTAGATATACAGACGACGGCAGTTACCGGTGAAAATATAAGACAAAGAATGAAAATATGGATGGGGATGAATGAATCCATAATGCGCAAGGAGGGTTTACTGAGTTCACAGAGAACTTGTACAGCCTGGAATACAAAAGGTAAGAAGAAAGGTGAGGATGCGCGTAGAGAGAAAAAAGTAATATAGAAAATACAAGGAGAAACTGTGCGGGTAATTGGAAATATAATGGTGGACACAAGAAGATTGATGTGCGAACCATTACAAATAATGCAGGAGAACGATCTCATCTTTTTATCCTTATCTTCACTAACAGGAAAAAAGGGAGTCAGCGTCCACCAAGCACTACCCTCAGAGCCGGTCCTTAGGTACACAACTTCATATAAAGAAGCAGGACGAGATGCTATAGAAGAGCCGGCACAAAAAAGTAAAACTAAGGAGGAAGATGTGATCACGAGCAAAGGTAAGGAAACACAGAGAAACAGCGAGAAAAGACAGGGCAGGAAGGAAAAAAAGTTAGAAACTAACAAGCTCACGACGCAAGTAGCGCCGAAACATCCGGCAGCGGGACTGCCCTTTGCAGGTGTACCAAATCTGCGGCAATTACCCGAAATCCAAATACTGAGGGGGGAAGGAGCAGAATAAGGAAACGAACTGGATTTATCCGAGTTCCGTCCGAATAATATGAATTGGACTTTAACAAGCGCCACTTTTATTAATTAATATTTTACAGGCAAGCCGGCAGGAAAAGAAGGACACCACAACACGACCACCTGTGGACAGAATAGACAGGATACCCCATGCATAATAGACGGACAACTGCAGTCGGATCCTTGGAACAGTAAGAACGGAGATGAATGTCTAGGAAGTCTGCTGGCACAGTGGGTACAGAAGAAAGGACTGGACAACCAAGCCATAGAATACGATGTAAGTACAGAGGAAGCAAGATTAAGTTATCAGGAATACGGAAAACAATGTGCATGGTGGAATAAGGGTAAAATGGCCGAAGGGACATAGGAAATAAGGGGACGGAACTGAACTGTGCACAGACATGTATGCGTTCCTTCATAATTATTCGCTTTGCATTGTAGAGAACAATATGGGAGAAGATGACGAAATTATACACGAATGTGGCTGCGCGGGGAGGGACGGGTAAATCTGAAATAATGGAAAATGCATGGATTGAAATGGGGAGAAAAGGAGGGCAAATAAAACAAGGGGAAGAGCAAATATATAAACTACTGATAAGGATATTATTATATATGGAAGGAATATCCGAAGATGGAAGTTTAGAGATGGAGCAAATGACTGACGATTATGAAATGGAATCATTGATGAAATGTGTAATGGGGAATGTATGGATAAACGGAATAAAGGAAATGGGCTGTTGGACGCAGAGTGCTGTGAATCATGCCATAAATGCCGCTGAAGCGCATGTCATTACAGTGAAAGGAGAAAAAAGCCGAATTAAGGATTGTTTAAAATGGCAATTCGGGGATACATGCGTAGGTACCTATCCAGTGACACCAAGATTTATGCAATGGATGTTAAAGAGTAATAGCGTGTTAGGAAAAATGTACGGGGCAGGAATGGCCGCAAAATGTAACGGCAAAAGTATAGCAGACAGAATAGAAGAATTTTATAAAGAGGCGGGAACGAAAGTGTCATGTAATAGTGGTGGTCAGCGTGTAGAAATGATAGAGCCATCGACCGATGGGAAACCGGGAAAGATGGCAAGAGGTAGAAATACCAAAAAATGCGAAAGTAAATATTGGAAAAAACAGGAGGATAACTGGAGGGAGAAAGTGACAATTTTAATTGAGGAAACAAACAAGAAACAAGAAGAGGGATCAAGGAAAGGAAGTCACCCTGCACCTGACGAATCTGATGAATCCGACCACCAGGTCGATAGCATCCCAAGAAAAAGGGCCAATGAAGATCACAGTATCCAAGGCGGTGACAACCTTACGGAGAAAACAGAACACAAAGGTAACGGAGACAAGAACGACCAAGAAACAGAAGTGGAAAGTGTAGACGGAGTCCACACTCAGGATAAGAATAAAATCAAGGCAAACGCGGAGCGTACAGAAGAGAAGCCTGTAGCGGGCACCATCCCACAAGAAGAAACAACAGTAGCCTGCACCCCCCGGCCACTAGCGGAATCGCAAGCATCAGGAGCAGAGACAACACAGGAAACGACGGAAAAAGTAGCAGCAGGGGGTGAACCAAACGTAGAAAAGAACGCACAGGGGAAGGGCATTTCCGTAATATCATCCCCCGATGACGACAGCCCCGCAGCGGATCCATCAAATGGAGTGACTGAGTCCAGCTCGTCCACCAAGAACACAGAGGACCCTGAGGACTCGAGCAGAGTACAAACAGGCCAAGCCACTGAGCGCACTGACCCCAACAACGGTGCGCGCGGCTCCCAGGGTGCTCGTAGCGACGGAGGAAACGATGAAACACCTCCTCTCAATCCACCCAAACCAAAACCAGAAACCACGAACCCAGATCAATCGGGTAGTAGTGGCAGTTTCAGTCATGCTGATTTGGCGGATGGAGTGTCTGGTGGGGAAGGAAAAGGAGGTGAGGGTGATGAAAAGGATGCTGGCGGCGGCGGCAGGTGTTGCAGTCGGTGTATCTGATGATGGTGCTCATGGCCTCGGTGGTCTTGATGGCCGTGGTGGTGTCGGTGGTCTTGGTGCTGGAGGAGGTTGTGGTCTTGGTTTCGGTGGCGGGGGTGGTGCCACAGTTTTGGGTGGATTCACTTTCGCCTTCACTTTCTTGACGCCCTTCTTTATCTTCTTCTCTAGTCGACATATGTCCTGGGATTGCCCTTTTTGTTGCATGTCCTGTAACACCTTATGTACGTTCGGAAAGGTGTGTCCTTCGTCCACCACGCCCTTTATGGCCTTCATGAGGTCAGAGTCCTTGGTTGTCACCCCAGCCGCTGCATTGCACTTCTTCTCACTTTCGTGCCCGTCCCTGTCTGTCCAAGCACACGGCGTCCCTGTTCCACGGGTAGTTCCTGTGGTGCGTCGCGCGAAACCTGTCTTCCATTCGTCCAGCTTATTCTTTATGCTTGGTCCAATACCTCCTACTCCGAATATGGCCTCCCCATAGTCCCTGCCCTCACACACCCCTGGCTCATATTGCTGTGTCCCTGTTGTATGCGTTTGCCGCATTTGTGGCTCGACCTTCTCTATTATTTCCCTATGGTCTTCAGTGTTCCCATACACCTGGAGTAACACCTCAGTCGCCAGTGTACACCGTAAATATTCCGTAAACTGCTCTGCGGAGCGTGCATCTAGTTCTGTGGTTGCCCAGTTGCCATTCTGGGGACTATGTGCTTTTATGTACAGCATAAGGCGTGCAATTTCATGGCACCTGCTTGTGCATGCGCATGTGTGCTTGAATGCTATGTGCCGCGCTACTCGTCAATCTCTCGTGTAACAATAAAGCCCTAGCACTGAACTGCGCGTGCGTCAGTTCTGTTCCTGTATGCTCCTACCTCATACTCCTCCTGTTTGGGAAAACCCGCGCGGATTACCCATTGCGCCAATTCATTCGCCAAATCTACTGTTCCCATATTGTTACCATGCACTGAAATACAGGGTACCGCTTGAAATACCTATACATTACTATTATTCGTATTGTTGTGATATTACATGAATTCGCGCGTGCGTCCAATTTTAGTCGATAATGCTGCTTCTGTCTGTGTTCACTGCTCTCTGCAGGTAGCAATCACACTTTCCATAAAAAGAGAAAAAATGAAGCACATAAAGGTAGAAGGCACCATTTACAAAAACAGAAAATGTGCATAGGAATTGCAAATACAGGGCACAGGGAAGAAACAGAAAAGAAAACAAAAGAACGAAAAAAAAA